CCTGCTGTGGGGTGTCTGTACCGCATCAGACCCTCCCACTCCAGCAAGAGTCAAACAGTGCTCAGCGAAAGTTTGTTTGCACACATACAAAGTGAATATGTAAATCATATGTTGCATCCGCTGAAGTGAGCTGTAGCTCACGAAAGCTTATGCTCAAATAAATTGGTTAGTCTCTAAGGTGCCACAAGTCCTCCTTTTCTTTTTGCGAATACAGACTAACACGGCTGTTACTCTGAAACATGTAAATCACAGGCAGTGACTCATTCCTCTATAGAAAGAAGGGCTCCATCTGGCAGCAAATTTACGTACAATGAATAATTTGAGCAACTATGCAGGTAGGCGTAGCTATTCCTGAAAGAGTCCACGTGCGGACAAGCCCTCTTACTGATGTTGCTTATTCCTGTATGGGAAGGAGAATAAGTTGTACTGGTATAAGGCAGCTTTATACCAGTATAACTGTATCCACACATGGGATTGTACTGGTATAACTATATGAAATCGCTTCCCTAGCCAACATAGTTATACTAGTACAAAATCTGTCTGGGCCAGCCTAAGACAATCTCTTTGAAGTCATGCAGGAGGGTTTAACCCTATATCTTCTCTTATTTTTCATTGGCAGCAATGGATCTACAGTATTTTACACTAGCTGAGGATCTGGCCCACTGTGTGTAGCAACTATGGCTAGGATACGAAGTCTGAGGAACTTATTTTGAAAGCCATTTAGTTCGACCTTTTAGAAAGGTCGTGTGTGAAAGAGGGTTGTAGTTCTAGGTCCCTGGCTCCTGGTATTGACTTACCGCAGGACTTCCTTCACCAATAGCTAGAGTTAACAAAAGGACTCCAGCCTCTCTCCCTACAGGCTAATGGTACCCTACATTATTCCTTCAGCAGTGAGCTATTTCTACCCACAGTGCCAGGGTAAAAAGAATGGCATTTGGGGAGAAAATTAGGGTCAGGCTTTCCAATGTCACTGAAGGTTAGAGCAGGTGATCACGATGGATAGGTTAAACAAGGCTTTCATGAAGTAGTAGATGGTCAGTTTATTGTCCTTGGAAACTTCTGTTACCGATGGACTATAGCAAAAAAGAGGTGTCTGGGAAAAGAACTAAGTTCTAATAAGGGGCATGGGAGTGTCTATTTGCTTTGAAATAAAAAAACAGTAAGAAAGTAAAGAACCCAAATAGCACTCACTAGTGCAGAACAGCCAGCACGTGTTCATCACTAACAGCCCTGGCCATGTTTGGGCAGCTCAGGAGATGCCGCACTAAGAGCAGCTTTCCCTCTGCCTTACCTGAGGCCCAGCATGAGTTCTGTCTACCATCGACTTGGGGCAGCGAGCCCTTGGCTCCAGAATTCACTTCCATCGGTTGAAGAGAGACCACATTTGTTGATTAGTAATGCTCCTCTTTTCTGAGCCAATCCATGGACAAATGATTGGAGGGGGAGAACTGGGTGCATGTAAAGGAGACAGGGATGATGTTTGTTACATTCCTTAGCTGTGTTACCCAGGGTTTTCAGAACCCAAAGCAGTGGTAACTTAACTGTTTCACTCCAGGCAGTGTCAGGAATAAATCAGTGGGAACACAGCGCTTCTGGCTGATGAAAAATTGTTACAAGTAAGCAAGCTCTTACCTAAAAACTACAATTTATTAGATTTAAGCACACTAGAACATAAGCAATAGGTTCAGAACACCCCAAATCATTACCTAGAATTTGAGATGGTGTTGAGTAGTTCACAGCAGGGCCACGATGGCCGGTCACTTCCCTGCTGGGGAGTATGGTTTCAGAAAAGTCTCTCAGGATCCTTTCAGAGAACTGCTCCAAAGTACACTCTATTGTCTAGCCTTTTTATAATTAATTTTTACAAAACATACAGCTCATAAGGACACATCATAATGTCATCACCTCTCCTGACTTCAATAAACTACTTATCAACAAACATTCCTAACAATAAGAACGGGGAGTACTTGTGGCACCTTAGAGACTAACAAATTTATTTGGGCATAAGCTTTCGTGGGCGAAAACCCACTTCATCAGATGCATGGAGTGGAAAATACAGTAGGAAGATTTTTTATATATATACACACACACACACAGAACATGAAAAGATGGGGGTTGCCATACCAACTCTAATGAGACAAATCCATTAAGGTGGTCTATTATCAGCAGGAGAAAAAAACTTTTGTCGTGATAATCAGGGTGGCCCATTTCAAACAGTTGACAGGAAGGTGTGAGTAACAGTAGAGGAAAAAATTAGCACAGGGAAATAGTTCACAAAACTATTTCCCCATGGTTCCCCCTCTACTGTTACACCTTCTTTTAACATCACTGTTAAAAACCTGTGCCTTATTTCTAAGTGTTTCCTAAGCTAGATCAGAAAGCAGCTCTTTCAGAAAGGCCAGTCTGGATTTGAAGACATCAAGAGATGGCAAATCCATCATTTACCTTTGGCATTGGTTCCAATCACCATCACTGTTAAAAACCCGTGACTTATTTCTAAGTGTTTCCAAAGCTAGACCAAACCAAGATCAAGCCTGTCTTGTGCCATAATAAGGCCTGTTCCCTAAACATTCCCTGTGCAGGAATTTGCACACTTAAGTTTATTGTCTTAAAGGAGCCCTGCAAAAGATTTTTAAAAAGCTGGGTTTGTGCCTCTTTAATGGATAAAGGGGTGGTGTCAAATAAAAGATAAGGGATGTGTAGGTGAGGGCTTTGCTTGTTTTTTGTTATGTTAGAAATACCACCTTTGGACTGCACTTTGCTGAAGGGGTCTCTGAGGGTGTGTCTGGCAAACCCTGATACCTCAGGCCATGTCTACATTGGGGTTTAGCACTGGTCTAGAAATAGACTGTAGCATACCCCCCTTTCCCCGCAACACTGGTGCAAGTTACTATTCATACTAGTGCAGCACATTTATGCTAGGGATTAGCAACATCCTGGAGTCTGCCTGCACCCTGCCAGTTAAGAGAAAATGGTTAAGGAATGCTTTAGAGGGGGATTTTTTTAAAAAAGTGTTATTGGGACTATTTTTGTATCCTTCCACCAAGGGCCATATTTACATGATTTACAACTGTTAGGAAAATCTGCAGGAGCTACAGGGTGGAGGCTCAGCTCCCAGAATATTGGACTACAGAAAGGCGCTGGTACTGTGCTGAGAGGGATCCATAAAAGCCTGCTAATGAAAGCCAGTAACAAAAGCTTGAAGGCCCTTCTGGGGCTAGAAATGTGCTGGGTCCCCAGCAGGACACTGAGGACCTCCCCTTTCTGGAGCTAAGAAGATCTCAGTTCCTAGTTCTGTGAGGTCACCAGGTAACAGAGTCCAAAAGCCATGACAGTCTGGTTTCTATACAAGCCATTACTGGCCTGGGGTTGTTTGGCCTGACCTGGCTTTTGAGCAGGGGGGATTTGTGCGGGGGGGGGGGGGGGCAGGAGGGAGGAGAAGAGGGAATTCCACGTAAGGAAAGTGGAACATTTTCGCAGGCAGGTCTTCAAGCAGCAGCAGCGGTTTTGCAGCTGCTCAGAGGTTTGGAATCTTCCAAGCATGAAAAATAAATGTGTTACTTGGCGAAAAACAAAAAAACTTCAAATCCAGACTCCAGCGAGAGACTGTTGAATTGGAATTCATTTGCAAATTGGTTACAATTAACTTAGGCTTGAATAGAGACTGGGAGTGGCTAAGTCATTATGCAAGGTAACCTATTTCCCCTTGTTTTTTCCTACCCCCCCCCCCCCAGAAGTTCTCGTTAAACCCTGGATTTGTGCTGGAAATGGCCCACCTTGATTATCATACACATTGTAAGGAGAGTGATCACTTTAGATAAGCTAAAAGAAAAGGAGTACTTGTGGCACCTTAGAGACTAACCAATTTATTTGAGCATAAGCTTTCGTGAGCTACAGCTCACTTCATCGGATGCCTTTAGATAAGCTATTACCAGCAGGAGAGTGGGTTTGTGTGTGTTGGGGGGGGGGAGAAAACCTGGATTTGTGCTGGTAATGTCCCAAGTTGATTATCATACACATTGTAAGGAAAGTGATCACTTTAGATAAGTTTCAAAGTAACAGCCCTGTTAGTCTGTATTCGCAAAAAGAAAAGGAGTACTTGTGGCACCTTAGAGACTAACCAATTTATTTGAGCATAAGCTTTCGTGAGCTACAGCTCACTTCATCGGATGCATACTGTGGAAAGTGTAGAAGATCTTTTTATACACACAAAGCATGAAAAAATACCTCCCCCCACCCCACTCTCCTGCTGGTAATAGCTTATCTAAAGTAATCACTCTCCTTACAATGTGTATGATAATCAACTTGGGACATTTCCAGCACAAATCCAGGTTCCCCCCCCCAAACCCACTCTCCTGTTGGTAATAGCTTATCTAAAGTGACCACTCTCCTTACAATGTGATAAGCTATTACCAGCAGGAGAGTGGGGTGGAGGGAGGTATTTTTTCATGCTTTGTGTGTATAAAAAGATCTTCTGCACTTTCCACAGTATGCATCCAATGAAGTGAGCTGTAGCTCACGAAAGCTCATGCTCAAATAAATTGGTTAGTCTCTAAGGTGCCACAAGTACTCCTTTTCTTTTTGCGAATACAGACTAACACGGCTGTTACTCTGAAACCATCATCATTGCTGTGTACCAGTATTAAATTGTTTGTTTAAAACTTATACTGTGTGTGTATATATACACAGCCTTTGTCTGGTGAAAAAAATTTCACTGGAACCTAACCTCCCCCCCATTTACATTAATTCTTATGGGGAAATTGGATTCACTTAACATCGTTTTGCTTAAAGTTGCATTTTTCAGGAACATAACTACAATGTTAAGCGAGGAATTACTGTATAAACCCATCTGCATGTTAGGCATGGGATCCCACTGATGTCCCATACAATACAAACCACACTGTCAATGCTTAGAACTGACTCACCTTGACCAACCAGGTGAGAAGGCCCTGGGGCCTGCAGGAATCAGAGCAGCAATAAAAGAGACAGACAAAGCCTCAAACCCAATAACAAGTATTTTATTTCAATTACAATAAGCGCCACAATGAATGTTGAAAAAACAGTTACAAAAAAATCCCTCCTTTAACATATAAATAGTAAAAATCCCTAAAAGTCCTTCCCTTTGTCTAAAGTAAGATGGTGCCCCTTGCTGGAGGAAAACAGACTGGAACCCGTTACTGTCAGCAGTTTCCTGTTAAAATCTAGGAGAGAATATTGAGCAGCCCACAGTCTCTATAGGCTCTTTCCAGGCCAGCTCCCTTGATGTCTTGGAAGCACAGACTGAAGGGACTGGCTTCCTTTGCTCAAATGGAGGCTGTGCTCTGAAAGCTCACAGTCCTGACCTCCCTGTTCCCTTTCAGCTCTTTGAGTTGACAGCACATCTTGAAGCGATCATCGGGTTCCTATACTCCAGTAACCCATCCCAGATTGGTTTAACTGTGAGACTAGACTGCCTGGGAGGAGCACACAGGGTTACATGACAGACAGCAGAAGAAATCATCCCAAGGCTGGCACTGGGTGAGATGCTAGGACTCTGCCTAACAAATCTGCTGTGTGAAAGGCCTCAAGCCACCTAGTGAGCCACAGAGCTCTCCCAGCACTGAGCCCCGCTCCGTGGGCTCACCTTGAGTAGTTTGCTTCGGAAAATCCTCCCTGCTCTGCACTGGAAGCTGTGAGGAAAGAAAGGGGCAGACATGGAAAAAAATTCCCCTAGCAATGCAGAAGAGCCACATGCAATGCTGGACAACTTATCTGGCCACGGTGCCCAAGCCCACAGGCTCACATGCAGAGAGCAGGTAGTGTTGTGGCAATCCTGTGGCTAGGAGACTGCCAGACAGGAATTTAACAGAAGCCCATGGGGTGGGCCTGAAACGAGGCCATGGCTTTTAGGGAAGAGACAGGAACACAGCAGGAGTTACTCTGCATTCATGATCTGAAATCTGGACAAATGCATTGCCTAGGAGCAGACGAGGCTCTTCATAGCTAAGCCTACTCTTGGTCGCTCATGGCCTATTTTCAGCACTGTGAAGCACCTGCCCCTCATGCTGAACGAAATGGGTACGGTGGGTTCTTGGTTCCTCTAACTATCAGGCCACAGGCTTCTAGGCTCATTAGGCATACTTGAAAGAAAACCTGCCCCACTTGCCCCAGCAAGACCATCAGATCTGTGCCTCTGCCCATCCAGAATGACTCTTCCAGCCCCTGCCAGATCTCCATTTAGAAGGGGGTGGGGACTAGCTCTTCCATCTCCCAGACAGCTGAGAGACATCCAGCCTCTACAGTCCTACAATGTGCTTAACCTTTCCCAGCTTGCAGGGCACTGGGGTTCTCTTGCATGTAGCAATGACTATGGCGAGCCTGGCTAATACCTGCAACACAGTAAGTAGGCCAACCTGTGACCCAGCCTTCTCAGTATCAGAATCAATTGAGGACTCCAGCTCCACAGTGCTCACACCAATGGCTACTTTCCAACGTCTTGCTTATGGGAAAGGAGGCATTTCAACTTGGAAGAATCCAAGGAAGCGGCAATGAATGGGACTGGATGGAAATAAGAAGAAAGGGAGCGAGATGAAGTAAGTCAGAGAGACTTGAACAAACTGTTTTCCCTGGGGGCCATGGCACCAAGAGCTCCCCCATCACCTTCCTTCCATAGCTCTTGGAGGTTTAATGCTTTTTGGATTCCCTTTTTCCCATTCAAGATTGGGATTTGTGCAGACTCTGAGCCCGGAAATGTGGGCTGAACTCCATGCTGGAGCAAACGTGCATATACTCAGGCTGTTGTGCCAGTCCAGAGGGAGGAGGCTGCTTTCACAGCTGAAACTGAACATTTGTAAGGCCCTGGAAGGGCTCTAGGCTGGATTTGTCATTGGGCACTACCCAGGGTGGTGCATAGCCAACATCCACCCCTCTCTGAGGTTACTGATTCCCACCCTTTTTTCCTATGGATTGCCACTGTGCACAGAAGAGGTAAGACTGGCAGTCCACCAGGCAGTCGAGGGATGCGGGGGGAGAGGGGGGATTTTGTGGCTGGGATGGTAGAGGAATGCCCAAGGAACCACCACATTCCACATGATCTCCACCAGCCCAGGGACCATGGGGTCCTGTGGTTACAACTATGCCCTTATGGAGCTGCTCAGAGGGGATGCTAGCAGTATTGTTAAATAACTGGCCAGCTGTTTACACAGGAGAGAGGCCTCAGCTGTCATAGGACCGTGAGCTGTCTGAACAGAGCCGTTTCCCCAGCCTGCCAGCCAAACAGCAAAACCCAAGGAGACTTACATCTGTACCTGACCAAAGCTACACTGTGCAAGGCGGGTTTCAGCAGTAATAATGATGACATGCAGAAGGTTGGTCTATGCTTGGGCTGTTCTAAAGCAGTAAGACAAAGAGAGAGCTCATAATTTAATAATCTAGTGCAGCCGGCTGCCTTCCTCTCCCTTTGTATCCAGAAGTTAAAGATGGCCCAAGAAGGTTTAAAGTTACAATGCAGCTTTTACTATACCCAAGTACAGCTGCCTGGAGACAAGTTAGGTGGTGGTTGGGATCCCAGTGTATCCAAGTCACAGCGTGCTGCTCTTAGCTTGCTGCAGGGGGCAGGAGAAGAGAGAGGAAACACCTTGTCACCAACTCAAGACAGATGGAAAGTTTATAGAATGAATGAATCTCTCTTTGGTTTCCTGTTCTGAGAGACTTTTTGTAATGGACCTTGTACATCAGCAGAGCTTAATATTGCTTCCAAGACCTGCAAGAATTTGCCTGCAAATAAAGCTCTAGAGATATGTTCAGGGCCTGTCACCCAACGATAAGTGCATGCACCTCTTTCATGGCACTTACCCTCACCGTCTTCCACTGCTGCTCAATTCCAGCTAGCTACAGCTGGCTATTGCCGTCCTGGCTCTGAACAGACTCTTCCAACTGTGCACTGGACCAGTGTCCACAACGGACTAGAAGGGCAGTTCTTCAATCTTGTTAGCGACCCCAGGGGTTCAATAAGAATCCTGGTCTCCAGGGCTGCAAAGTTAATTTGTTGCCTCAGTGACACCCTTCGGTCTCCTGTGTTTCAGTGGAATGGTCTCTGCTGAAATTCTCATATCTAGTTGCACTACTTTTTAAAAAAAGTAATAAATATACTAATCCTTTTGCTTAAGAAAAAAAGGCTTTTAAATGCATTTTCCCTGAACTTTTCCAGTGTATTTCATAATGTTCAAAAATATTTTCCCAAAAATATATTTTAAAATATTTTACACACACACACACATATATATATATGTATATATATATATATATATATATATATGCACATGTGTCTCTGGAGAGATTAGCGTATGTTGGACATATTTCGATACACAGTCAAACCAGTTATCACTTTCATCAGTGGGTCTCCCTTTATCAATTAGAAAAAGTCTTCAAGCCTGTGACAGGACAGGGGCTTAACTGTGTATGTGTAAATATGGGTCAAGGCATACAGACACATGCATATATACACACACCCTATGCAAGGTTTTAAAAAAAAAAGACATTTCACAAGTGAGTGAGATTAAGAAAGGTTTTCACAGTAGATAGAATCGCAGATGATACCTAGAGCTCAGGGATCCATTCCTGCTGAGAGTTTGACAGTTCGTTGAAAGAAGAAACTGCCCTTTGAGCAGAAAGCCTGGGAAATTCAATTCTTGATGAAGGAACAATAAACCAAAAGTTGGTTTCCACTATTTCCTGGTCCTTTTCTTTTCACCATACTTCACACTTCTTCTGGGGGTTCATAGGGGAGCCGGGAGGACAGTGGAAGTGCTCAGAGAACTCTTTGGAGTTGGAGATGGTACCAATGACGCGGAAACGTGATGGACTGTGGGGGTCAGTGATGAGTCCTTCGTGGGAGCTCTCCGGGGTGCGAACCGAACACCAGACCTGCAAATGCAAGGGAATAGGAGTTAGCTCAAGGGCTTCATTATAGCTGAAAAGTGTCTCTGTCCCAGCTATCATGACATATGGAAATCACAGATCTTCTTAAATAGGAGGAGTTTATTATAGGAAACAACAACTATTGATACAAACAAGTTTCCATGAAGCTTGAGTCCCAACTTGGTCTCCCTTGTTTACAAGCAACCACACACTGGATCCACACATTGCACACACATCTGGAGGATGAATAGTATATTGTAAGTAACCTTATCATTACACCAGCAAAGGGGCTTCACCCAGAGACTTCAGCAACCTGAAGTTGTTCTATCTGCAGGAGTGTATATCTTACTTTGCTGCAAAATGAGCATTATACTTGTCAAAATGCATCAAACAGCTGGCTTGTCGAGTCTGTTATCTTGCCTTTTACCAGATGCTTTATAGCAGGGGTGGCCAATCTGTGGCTCCGGAGCCACATGTGGCTCTTCAGAAGTTAAAATGCGGCTCCTTGTCTAGGCATCGACTCCGGGGCTGGAGCTACCAGCGCCAACTTTCCATTGTGCCAAGGGGTGCTCACTGCTCAACCCCTGGCTCTGCCACGGGCCCTGCCCCACTCCACCCCTTCCTACCCCCTCCTTTGTGCCTGCCATACCCTCACTCTTTCCCCTCTCCCCCGAGCCTCCTGCATGCCATGAAACAGCTGATTGGGAGGTGCGGGGAGGTAGGGGGAGGCACTGATCGGTGGGGCTGCCAGTGGGTGGGAGGCGCTGGGAGTGGGTGTGGGGGGAGTTGATGGGGGGCTGCTGATGTATTACTGTGGCTCTTTGGCAATGTACACTGGTAAATTCTGGCTTGTTTTCAGGCTCAGGTTGGCCACCCCTACTTTATAGGAAGGCAGGCTTTCCACACTGACTGTAATGCATCTCTCTCTTCACAATACATCAAGACTAATATTTGCTGCACTCCTCTGCCATTTGAGGGGTCAGGAATCAGGGCCTGCAGCACAGCCGTCTCTGGGCAACCTAATGAGTGCAGCTGACCTGTAGGAAATTGCTTAATTGGCTATGCCACCTGATTGACTGGAGAAGTCAGCAGATTGGCTCGTAAGCCTAACAGCAGCAGCAGTTCAGTGGTTGCTCAAAGCACTGGCCCATGACTGAGATAGCTCCTGCCTTCCCTGACTCCAGGTAATCCAGTTTTGACCCTCAGCTTTGGTTCCTGACTCCTGCTCTGACACTAAGCTCTGACCTCTGGTTCATGATTCCTACTGTGACCCTCGGTCTGATTGCGCACATCTCAGTCACTCATGTGGGGACTCAGTTCAGGAAAAGGAATGCCCTAGACCTTTGAAGGGGGTTTGGGAGGAGGTGAAGATGGGAGGGGCACTGCCACCCTACAATCATAGAATATAAGGGTTGGAAGGGACCCCAGAAGGTCATCTAGTCCAACCCCCTGCTCGAAGCAGGACCAATTCCCAGTTAAATCATCCCAGCCAGGGCTTTGTCAAGCCTGACCTTAAAAACCTCTAAGGAAGGAGATTCTACCACCTCCCTAGGTAACGCATTCCAGTGTTTCACCACCCTCTTAGTGAAAAAGTTTTTCCTAATATCCAATCTAAACCTCCCCCACTGCAGCTTGAGACCATACAAAGTGGAGTCTGCTGTAAATTGCATTCCTGCTAACCCAGCAGCTGGAGCCACTGCTATTCCCCAGCTCACACAGTGCACCTGGAGACAGAACAAAGGGTTGTGGGATGGCAGAGACTCACCTGGGCGAATCCCACAAAGAAGAGCTGGTTGTTGGAGAGGCCAAGTGTTGGCAAAGCCTCCTCATTCCCATTCTTCTTCACCCAATTTTGATAAGCCTGTAGGCAGGAGAGAACAGAGGCTAACCTGCATCAGTAGAAGTACATAGTGGATGGAGTTAGAGGATGAGAGACACTCCCACTGCCTTGTGGGGGTACAAAATGCTGGTCCAGCTAGCCATGGGGGCATTAACCCTTAATGGACTAAACCAGTCCAGTCTCCATGGCACATGCTGGCAGGGAGGGAAATGTCAGCATTGCAGGAGTCTCCCCTGTGCCCATTTTCCATTTGGTCACAGAAAGCCAGAGACAAATCTAAGACAGCCTTAGGGGCTGTGAAGGGAAGAGAAAGCACAAAATAAACCCACCACTAGAGCTGAGTAAATAATTGACTTTTGGTTCAGGGGCTGACATGAAAAATCTAAAACAAAAATCTTTTCGGGTTGAATGAAATGTATCATTGAACTCTAAAGAATTTCCCCCCTAAATTTTTTGTTGTGGCTAGTTTTTGGGGATTATTTACCTTTAAAAAAAATCTAGCTAAATTTCAACATGAAGCATCAGTCAAACTGCTTTGTTTAGAAAACGCTGAAATGAACCGATTTGACTCTTTCATTTGTTTTCAGCTGAAACTATTTGCCAAATCTGAACCAAATCTGTGAATAATTTTGGTTGACCCAAAACTGTATTTTTTGGCAAATAAATGATTAATCCAAAAAGTTTTTCCTAGCTGTACCCGTGACACCCAGGATTATGTCTGGCCTACAGGAAACAAATCAGAATGGGGATCCATTGAGGTAGTGTGACATGTCAGAGTTGCACAGGGAGAAACTTGTATCCAGTCAAGGCAGACTCATCACCTCCTACCACATTTGCTACATTTGCCATTGCCAATGGGAGGATCTGGAGAGGAGTTAAAGCCTCTTCCAGTTAAAATGGTCAGGTTCTTTCTTCCCCTGAATCTCCTTCAAAAGCCCTCTCCTGCACATCCACCCTCTATGGGCTGTAGATTGTCAGGTCTACAATTTCCTGGTCCAAGGACAGCAGATCCCAAATCCAAGAGTCACCTGAAGACTTATATATGGTCATGGCCCACCCCCTTCCACAGATAGGACAGTGCCTAGAAAAGGAGCTCAGAATTTTACACTTTCTTAGAGCAATTCACCTTGCCATCACTGTACTACCAGGAATCTCTCTCCAGCTATAGCATCAGGGGAAAGTCTAGGACTACAAAAGGATCCACACAGCCATGGCTACAAAGAGAGATATCAGACTGTGCCTGTACTAGACTCCTACCCGATACGCAGCTTTGAGGCCCCCATTGTCAGCAATGTTCTCTCCCAGCGTGTGTTTGCCATTCACTGCCTCGCCGTTCACAGTGTAGCTGCTGTACTGTTCCACCATGCACTCAGTCTGCTGCTTGAAGGCCTCCACAGAGGAGTTCTTCCACCAAGGCCGCAGATTTCCATCTTTATCATACTCCCGCCCTGCAGAGGAGCAGACCAAGTGAAACACTGGAACTAGAAGATACTTCATCTGAGACGGCCTTTGGCAGAACCAAGCCTGTGTGTGTGGTGGGGGTGTTGTTTGAGATTAGAGCACACAATCTGGGGGCTTGGAGATGCGGTGAGTATACTAGCAATAGCATGGCCTCTTCAGAGAGGAGAAGCGAGTTCTGAGACCTCCTGAACTTATTGATCGTTATTTTATTGCACCACCATAAATCCCACAGGAAGAGATTGCGAACAGCTCTCTGTCCAGTGCAACAGATCATCACAAAATGCTTTTGGCGTTAGTAAGACACGCTCTTGTACAGAGCGCAGGGTGCAAACAGCTGAGCCTGCATTCTGATCACTTGAATAATAATTAGTTCCCCAGTAGGAAGCTGATGGGGTAATTACGCAACCAGGCTGCCTGGCTGAACCAATTACCCTATCAGCCCTGGGCGATAAGTGGCGGTACAGCAAGGGGAAGGAAGGGGAGAGGGAGGAACAGGGCTAGTTGAGTCTTGCCAGACAGAGGTTCGGAACAAGGAGTCCTTGGTGACCCTCAGGCCCTGGTGAGAGGGCCAAAAGCCAGTTGAATATTGAAAACAGGCTGTTGCACAAGGACTGTTGTGAAATTGGTGCAGGAACACAAAATAAAAAGGCATGGTGAAGGCACAATCAAAGGAGTCAGTGTAGTTTCTGTGGGGAGAAGCTAGGAGAAGGGTCACACCCCATGACAGCCTGACTGTCCCATTTTAAGGCTTTCACCATTAATGAGCCACATGTAGGTTTCCTCATTCTGGCAGAAAAGCAGCAAAGAAAAATTCCTCTTGCCTTCTTTCAGCTAGTTAGATTTTTCCACCTCAGAGACTGGGCAGAGTCTCAGATGTCAAACATATTTAGTCATTCTGGGCCAGATCTGTACCTGGTGTAGCTCCATGCAGGTCACTGGAGTTACACGAGGGATGGCTCTGGCCCATTCTCACAAGATCCGCTTTGAGAAGGCTCTTTGATACAGGGGCCACCTGAGTTTAGTTTTGACTCCTGGCACTGGAAGCCTTTCAACAAAGAGGAGAACAGAGCTCCATCAGGAAGAGGAAGAGGGAGAGAAAGCAACAGGAAATAAGGTGTCTTCAGGTTGCCCACCTTGGTCATCAAAGGCATGAGTCAGCTCGTGGCCCACAACGACGCCAATGCCACCAAAGTTCAGTGCCCTGTGTGAGAAGGACAAAGAGCATTAGGATTCGTGCTTCACTAAGGCCATTGCCTACTAATGTCTGCACATAGGCCCTGTGACTCTACCCACCGGAGCATTAGGGTAGGGGAATTGGACTAGGAGGTGGCTTTCACTTGGACGATGAGCTGCTCCTCATTACCCCACTTTTTTGCTCTTCTTGCCTTGGTTTCCCCCGCGGACAGAAAGAGTCCTAAGGAGACACCGAGCCCCAGGCATGTTGAAATTGTTACATCTTTCTATTAACGCCAATTGCAAAATGAATCTGCTGCACTGCCAACCTCCATTAAACAGCTCTATGGTGTTTTCTGTAAATGACTGAAGTGCAGAGGGAAATCTGAACCTATTTTTAAAAAGTCCCCTTCATGTTCCACTGGGGGCAGCAGACAGTTCCAGCAATGGGACCTAGGAGAAGCTATGAAATCCGACGAAGTGGGTATGCATCCGACGAAGTGGTTATTCACCCATGAAAGCTTATGCTCTAATACGTCTGTTAGTCTATAAGGTGCCACAGGACTCTTTGCCACTTTTATGAAATATAGAGTTGATCACAGAGCCCCTCAGGCCGTTGGACACCCAGACACAAGGATAAATGTTCTGTGGCTTCTCTAGGCCCCAAATGAGCCACTTTGCAGCTAGCCAGGCATGTTTATTTCCATGATACCATTAGACACAAGACTGTATGAGCCCATAATGTTGCATGTCTAGCAGGTGCCAGCATAGAAGAACTAAGAAAGTGAAGGTGTGGCCTCATCCAGACTGGGAATCTCTGGGGATGGTGCCTTTCCTCAATTTTGCTGGGTTTCCCTCCATCTTGCACAGACCTGTCACTAGGCCACCTTCTATTGGTCTGTCCTACTGTTCTATTGGACCTGGCCAGAGAGATGCCTTACCTGTTAATGGGGAGGGCGGCACAAGACGGGGAGGGGTCAAAAATGGTTGCGAATCCCTCACTGTCTCCTTAGGCAAGAGGCCTGACAAAAGGGGGAACCTTAGACTAACTCGGGGGGAAAGATCCAGATCCTGTGCTGAAAGAGCACACATCCACCAATGTCCCTGGCAAAGCTGGCAGCTCTTTGTGCACTGGCATCAAGATCCACGGAGTCTCCTAGCACAAGTCTGGCAGAGCCAGTGCAATCTCTCTGAGCCCCAGCATTCCTCCCCTGGCTGTTTTCTAGCCCCCAGCTCAGGAAAGGACTCTCTTTAGCTACTGATGATTGCAGACCAGGATACAGAGGTGTGTGAGGCACCCACCACCTTCCAACTGGGCTGCTGCCAACAGAGTCCCCACTCCCCATCCCCCTCCAGCTTAGGGAGGAGGGTGGAGTGGGGGAAGAACACTGGGAGAGGGGGGCAGCAGATGAGCAAGAGGATGTTCATACTTGGGGGAGGTGCGGGTGTAGAAAGGAGCCTGCAGGATCCCGGCTGGGAACACAATCTCATTCTTGGTGGGGGAGTAGTAGGCGTTCACTGTTGGAGGGGTCATACTCCACCTGCAGGAGACAAAGGGGATTCTCATTACAGCCAGGCTGGAAGGTGCATACCCCTCTCATGTTGGGAGATTGGCACAAGGCACAGGTATTTCCTGGCCTCCCCCACAGTTCCCTGAAGCTTCCTAGGATACCTAGCAACTACAGGAACATATATGGCAATCAGGGCCATGGGCAAGGACTGCAGGATTCACTGTCGCAGACCAAGGAACAGGTCAGAGACAAAGAACCACCGAGTCTTCAGCCAATGAAGAAAGCTGCAAAAATACGGATGCCTGAAGAAAGTGTAATACTCCTACTGTCCACGAGAGGGAACCAGAGCACTAAAGTATTTTGACCAGATGGGGATACAGATGTCAGCCAGTCACATAACACACACCTCCCTCCTAGTATAACTCTTGGGTGGGGAGGTCTGAGCAGGGAGTTCCTTGTTGGGCAGGCTTGTTGCATCATCTCTCCCAGGTCCTTGCCTGCTCACTTCTTTTGAGAAAACAGGAAAGATATTTACAAAAGACTGTAAAGCTTCTGGAGCAGGCACAGTCTTTGTTCTACATTTGTACAGCACCTAGCACAATGCCTGGGGTTCCTAGGTGCTCCCAAAATACAAATAAATTAATAATAATTATTCCTGCACTCTCCCTGCTCTCAATGCTATCTCCAACAAACATGGAGGGGAGATATGCATGTGTCTGTAGGTTAGGGTTGGTTGAGTATGCTGGTTTTGCTGAGGAAATAGGGTTTTAACTGTATTATGCAGCTCAGAGATTTTGTAAAGACTATGTAGGCACAAGGTGAAGAGAAGGTTACTCACCTTGTGCACTAACTGAGGTTCTTCGAGATGTGTGTCCCTGTGGGTGCTCCACTTCAGAGGGCAGTGTGTCCCGGGGCTCTCAATCGGAGATTTTGTCAGCAGTGTCTGGTTGGGGTGCGAGTGCGCAGTAACTGTCTCATGGCGGCACTGATGCCTCTTCTGGCACGCACATGCCCTGACCCCCCCCCTCAGTTCCTGCTCTACCGTGGAGTTGATTCTTACTCCAAAGCAGATGGGAGGATGGTGGGTAGCGGAGCACCCACAGGGACACACATCTCGAAGAACCTCAGTCATTGCACAAGGTGAGTAACCTTCTCTTCTTCATCCAGTGGCGTCCCTGTGGGTGCTCCACTTCAGGTGAATGTAGAGCAGTGCCCTCACGTGGATGGAAGGGGCTTCGGAGTTGATTGTGTAGCTACTGCTAGGACTGTGCAGCCTAATTTAGCATCTGCTCTCGAGCTAAGCATGATTGCGTAATGGTCGGTGACAGTGTGTTCGAACGCCCACATAGCTGCTCTGAATACGTCAAGGACGAGCATGTTGTGCAGGAATGCTTCCAACCTGATATTCTATGATTCTATGAAAAACCATCTACTTCAATCCAAGCTTAAACTAACTATTAACAATATAAGTACTATCCTAAATATCTAATCTAATCTAAATCTAAGTTTTTTGCTATAGGTAGGGACACTGCTAACGGACTCCATCTAAAGCCAAGGATGGCGTCAGCACCACCACAAGACAGCTACTGTGCACGTGCGCCCCAACCAGACACTGCTAACAAAATCTCCGATGGCCGGTGCCGGGACGCACTGCCCCTGAAGTGGAGCACCCACAGGGACACCACTTGATGAAGAAGAGAGACCTCAGCTGAGTTCCCAAGGCTCTAATGGATGTAAATCAGACCTTAGCATTATGCTTGATTTTTGCGGTCTGGAGAAGAGAGGTATTCTAGAGGCTGCTCAGAGCTCTGTGCACCATTGGGGTGAGGAGCAGTTTGTGAGTAGTATCAATAGCAGCCCATGGGAGAGCAGAAGTACTCCTAGGTGTTCCAGTTAGCAAACGGACCAGCTATACACGTGTTCTGAGCACAATCACTGAAACTACGGAAAGGGATGGATTTTTGTTTAGCTATCAGCGGTTCTGGAACTGGATGCCGTAGAGATTTTAGTCCCTAGATCAATGCGCTGTAGCATCATTATGGAAGAAGCCAAACCTAGTTACTGGTCAGACGGTGGCTGAGTTACACAGCACTGGGTCCCCAGGTTGTGTAAATGTGTTGAAACTAATTGTATAATCTAGGGCCTAGAGTATGTCCCCACGTCTCAGAGGAGACTCCCCCAACCCCTAGCAGGGAAAGGCAGGGCAGGGGAGGACTTACTGGTCCCGATTTGGAGGTTTCCGTAGTTGGTCAGCGGCCACTTGGGCAGAGAAGTTATAAAATTGCATGACGTTCTCGAAGTAGAGACTGGAGACAGCTTCATACTGCAAAACCCAAACCCATCAGTCCTGGAGAGAGAGCCACCAGTGTGACCCGAGACCAGTATCCCCCGCTGTTACTGTCTGCACCCTGCAGCTGTCTGGCTAGGGGCTCATACAGTGCCCATCACTACAGTATCTGAGTGCATCGCAGAGTGGCATCTGTACCTTGCACACAGGTCTCAAAGGTTTGCAATGGGCAGCTGTTCTTCTGTCTCTAGGCATCTAACATACAGTGTCCCTCAGGGCTCAGTCTCACCCCGTTCGTAGGAATGCTGACATTTGGCCATAGGACAGCACGAGGACACACTGCAGACTCCAGGGCTGTCCATAGACAGATAACACCCAGCTCCACTCTCTTCCCAGCAAGCCCTGACCAAAGAGTTCGCTCATGGACTGTGGGGACGACCTAGATCAGTAGTTCTCAACCTATTTATATGCGGCCCAGAAAGTGTTAGCTGGGCTGCAGGTTGAGAAACACTGTGCCCCCCACCCATAAACCCCTATGCTCAGTGCCCTCAGACCCCTCCACAGAATGAGCCAGGAGTGGAGAACTGGGTAGGGGGCAGGGATCCTGACCCTGGCGCGTGGTGACCATGACCCCCGCTGTGGGAGTGGGTGGGGGGCTGCTAGGACCCTGACCACTGGACCCCACCATTGGGGGTGTGTGTGTGTGGCAGCCAGCTGCCTGGACCCTGAGCCCCGCCGTTCAGCAAAGGGGCTGGGAGTGCGGACCCCTGAGCCTGCCACGTGGAAGGGGAGCCAGCAGCCCGCTGGGTGGGAGGAGAGCCAGGAGTCTTGACCCTGAGCCCCACTGCGCGGCAGTGGAGTTGGGAGTCTGAGCCCCATTGCAGGGGGCTGGGTGGCAGCCCGGCTGCCCAGGCCCTGAGTCCCAATGCGGGCGGAGAGAGGAGGGGAGGCAGCCAGGACCCTGACCTGGACCCTGCTAGGACCCTGTGCCGTGCCATGCAGGGTTGGCAGAGCAGCCCAGCTGGGAGCTGGCAACCCGGAGCCGCTGCCTGGCAGGACAGCTGGGACCTGGCAGCCAGGAGCCTGCTAGTAGCCTGGAGCTCACAGCACACAGCCTTTAGCACACAGCTGAGCTGGGCCGCAGCTGTGTGCTAATTGGATCGCGGTTTGAGAACCGCTGACCTAGAGAGATGTGTCACAGCTTGCTCAGCCCCAACCCAAATAAGACTGAGATGCTGCTTATCACGTCCAGAACTGGCTAGAACCACAGTGATTTCCAGTGACAGAGCTAAAAGGCAGGGAGGGGGCAATCGCCTTGTGGTGTGTGTGTGATGCCTTTCTACGAATATTATGCACTTGACAAAAGGTGGATGACATGAATTTTCATACAGGGCTGGGGAACGAACCCACCCTGCACTCATCTGGCCGGGGCAGCTTCTGTCACCTTGGGCTGGGCCCAGCTCCCAGCTCCAGGCGCTGTGACATGGCTCATCGAGCTGCTTGGCACTGCGACCCTGGAACCAGGTTGCAATGCCACTCACTCAGATTTGGCCCAGCCTCCCGCCCATCATTACAGAGGTGTGGCTGGGCCAAACCTGAACGGTGCTGCACCCCCTTGCACCAGGTCGCAGCGCCAGGAGTGGGGAGCTGGGTCCAGTCCCAAGGGACTGAAGCTGCAGGTAGGGTTGCCAACTTTTTATTGGCAGAAAAACAAACACCCTTGCCCCACGCCCTGCCCCGCCCCTTCTCTGAGGCCATGCCCCCCGCTCACTCCATCTCCCCTCCCTCAGTCGCTTGCTCTCCCCCAACCTCACTCACTCGCTCATTTTCACCGGCTGGGGCAGGGTGTGAGAAGGGTGAGAGCTCCGGCTACGGACTATGGGGTGGGACTGGGGATGAGGGGTTTGGGGTGCAAGAGGGGGCTCCAGGCTAGGGCATGGGATTGGGGTGCAGGAGGGGGTGATGGCTTCGGCTGGGGGTGCAGACTCTAGGGTGGGGCCAGAGATGAGGGGATGCAGGAGAGGGCTCCAGGCTGGGGCAGTGGGTTGGGTGTGGGAGGGGGTATGGGCTCTGGGCTGGGGCTAGTAATGAAGGGTTCAGAGTGCGGGAGGGGGATACGGACTGGGGCAGGGGGGGTGAGGAGTCCGGTTGGGGGTTGGGCTCTGGGGTGGTGCTGGGGTTTGGGATGCAGGAGGGGGTTTGGGGTGTGGACTCCGGGCAGTGCTTACCTCAGGTGGCTCCCGGAAAGCTGCCAGCATCTTCCTCTGGCTCCTAGGCAGAGGTACGACCATGTGGCTCTGGGCGCTGCAGGCGCCGCCCCCTCAGCTCCCATTGGCTGTGATTCCTGGCCAATGGGAGCTGCTGAACTGGTGCTGGGAGTGGGAGCAACGCGCAGAGCCCTCATGGCTATCCCTCTGCCTAGGAGCCAGAGAAAGATGCTGGCAGCTTCCCAGGAGTTGAGCAGAGCCAGGTAGGGAGCCAGCCTGCTCTGCCAACCGGACTTTCAATGGCCCAGTCAGCAGTGCTGACCAGAGCTGCCAGGGTCCCTTTTCGACCAGATGTTCTGGTCGAAAACTGGACAGTTGGCAAGCTTAGCTGCAGGATTGGCTCACTCCCCAGCTGCACCCCTGCCGGGGCCTCCCTCCACAGTGGGCTGGGATTAGTGTGGTGGGCTGGGGCAGAGGATGCAGCTGTGGATGGCTGGTGCCCCCGCAGCGGGGCCAGGAGGAGGAGGCGGGAGTGCACCCATTGACTAGGGAGGCTGCATCTGCCGCTCAGTCCACTGGATGGCACTGTTTAGAAGGTGAACTGCGTGCATACCAGTCTGTTCAGTTTACTGTAAGTAGCGAGCTGCACTGTGGGTAGTTCTGTGAGATTTTTAGGCTTAGGCTGCTGCAGCTGAGAAAGCACCACGAGCTGTTGGCTGTGCAGCTCAGGCTTGTCAGAAAGGCAAAATGGTCAATTAACTTGTGTACTGGGGAACCAGGAGGTTCTTCTCAGGAGTGAGGATGGTTTTAAAAAACTAAAAGCCAATAGACATAACAAAGGTGTCATTGTCCTGTCTGGTGGAGCCTGCCAATGACCCATCAGCCCTTGGATTGCAAAATCTGGCTTCACCACTGGTGACTTCTACAGAAGGCATTATCCTGCCAGGCTCTCAGTTGCTCAGAATTCTCTCCAGGATACTCAGCTTATAGCAGTGACCAAAAATACCCAGCGTGCTACAGGTTTCCCTATCAGCCATGTAGCCAACCAACAATCCTTGTGCTGGTCACCTTGGGCTGGGCTGCTGCAATGCACTTTTACTGGGGTGGACACTGAACCCAGCATGTCACCACCCACATGCTGACTGCCAGTACTACCCTGGGTCGATTGCAAGCTCCTTGTGTATAGGCCACAATAAACAAGGACACAGCTGCACTCAGGAGAGCTGTTCCCACAGAACCCTGGAATGTGCTGCTGACAGAGAGGAGGTGGAGTCTCATGGCCTTCAGAATGGAGGTTAAGCTGCACCATTTCACAAAGGAGTTTCCCGGTTAACCAGGTGAGAAGTCCTCTCCACAGGGCACAGGAAGTGGAGAAGAGTTTCTCCTTTTAGAAGGAACCCAGTCTTAAATTCATCAAGTGCCCAGATACTGCAGTGATGGGGGTCATAAACACATGCAACAATAATAAGAGAGACTTTGGCAATATTAAGTTTCTTGGCCGCAGATCAATTGGTTTAGGACACATTTTGAATCATGGAGGTTTAATTTTGAGGCTGGTCTATTTGTAAGGGCTACTGTATCAGAATTTCACATGGGGCAGAAGTTTCCCCAGTGGATTCCTACAGTGGGGGGCAAGAGAGGAGCAGCAGAGGAAACTCAGACATGGCAGTGTGTAGCCAGTCAACTCACATCATGGAACACCTTGTCCAGCTCCTTGGGATCCAGGATAAACTTGGGGTAGCCAATCATGTCATAGATTGCATCTGCCTGGGTTGAAGTTGGAAAGAGAGAAGAGTAACTTATAAGGGTTGCACAAGGCTGTTCCTCTGATCTGTGCACATCCTGTGGGTTTCATAGAATCATAGAATCATAGAATATAAGGGTTGGAAGGGACCCCAGAAGGTCATCTAGTCCAACCCCCTGCTCAAAGCAGGACCAATTCCCAGTTAAATCATCCCAGCCAGGGCTTTGTCAAGCCTGACCTTAAAAACCTCTAAGGAAGGAGATTCTACCACCTCCCTAGGTAACGCATTCCAGTGTTTCACTACCCTCTTAGTGAAAAAGTTTTTCCTAATATCCAATCTAAACCTCCCCCACTGTAACTTGAGACCATTACTCCTCGTTCTGTCATCTGATACCATTGAGAACAGTCTAGAGCCATCCTCTTTGGAACCCCCTTTCAGGTAGTTGAAAACAGCTATCAAATCCCCCCTCATTCTTCTCTTCTGCAGGCTAAACAATCCCAGCTCCCTCAGCCTCTCCTCATAACTCATATGTTCCAGACCCCTAATCATTTTTGTTGCCCTTCGCTGGACTCTCTCCAATTTATCCACATCCTTCTTGAAGTGTGGGGCCCAAAACTGGACACAGTACTCCAGATGAGGCCTCACCAATGTCGAATAGAGGGGAACGATCACGTCCCTCGATCTGCTCGCTATGCCCCTACTTATACAGATTGGTTTGTTCAGGGTAGGTGGGGAAAGAGTCCAGCGTGACCACAGGGCTCTAATTCCAAGGGCTGTCATACATGGTAATCTCAAGGTCCTTACTTTCCATCCAGATCTGTGTCACTTCCCACAACTCACTTTTATTGCTGAAAATTATTTGCATCATATATGCAGGCTCCTGGAACCATGGCCACGGAGAGGGGGGTTTACATGGATGGAAGGGATCCCACAGCATTTTTAACTTTCTTGCATGAATAATCGGTGTCCCCCTCATTTTGAGTCTTTTCTATGTGTCACCTACTGGAGCCTAGCCTTGTTAGGCAGAGAGGTCTACACACGTTTATGGGATCACAAATCTTGGGTTATTGGGATTTACAATTTACGGTGTTTAGACGATCATGGCCCTGGACCCCCGCAGGCTAGCAAGGCAACAGCCAAGGATGGGTAATAAATACTGAAAACAAATTAATGTGAGAGCTCCCCAGCTCTGAGGAGGCAAAAGGAAAATGCCAAGATCTGCTTGAAACCAGTTGGAATCTCATGGTGGAAATGCTAGGGGCTGTACAGAGCTCCCCCAAGGCACAGAGTGAGGGGAGACTGTGCCTTGCTTAAACACCACTAGCCTTCTCCTTGGCAGATTTCCTCGTCTCTTCATCCATCCACTGCAGAGTAGCCAGGCTTTCCTCAAAGGCAGTTTTAATCTCTGTAATCATTTCCTCGGCCTAGACAAAATAAGAGGTCTTGTGTCAGCTGGAAGCCCAAATATTTACCCTGCTCTACAGGATCAAAGACTAAGTAAAAGTCTCTTGAAATAGCTGTGGGGAGATAGAACAACCTCCACCAGACCCAGCTGTAGACAGGATGTGAAGGGCCCAGATGGTTGGGGTGCTGTCCAGAATTCACTCCTAAAAATATGACCTACTTTGAAACTGGTAGATTGCAACAATGAACTAGTGGCTTGGTTCTTGTTTGGGACCCACACGGAGAAGCAAACGCCCCCCACAGCAGAGCTGCTGCTGATGGGAGAATGCCGCTGCAGGAGACAAGAAGGTCAAGCTGGCCCAAGTGCCATTAGGCGCAATGGGGGCTGGTGTATGTGTGTGTTGGGCTCTGCCAAAAGAAGGACAAACGTAGGTCAGAAAAAGAAAGTGGGTTTTGATCATCTAGCCAGGAGGCTGTCAGGATGAGGGGAGTTAAGTAGGTCACTGAGAGCATAAGGGACATTATGGAGGGAGCCTTAAGTCTGCAGCCTCTCCAGCTTTGGTGAGATCTGCTCCTAGAGCATGGCCTGTAGCCCTGCAGCATGTAATGACAATCCGGCATGTCCATTTGGGACAATGTCCTCAGTCTGCTGCACTGGATAGTCTGGGGATGAGATAGATGGTCCCTTTCCAAACAGAAGAACTGCCAGTTCTCCCAAGAAATGGCATGGGTAGCAGTGGGTAGGGCACAGGATTAGGAGCCAGAGGATCTAGGTTCTGCTCCAGCTCTGCTGCTAACTCACTGTGTGACCTTGGACCAGTCATGTCCCTCTGTACCTCAGTTTCCCCATCTAGGAAATGGCAAGAGCTCCCTGTGAAGTGCTATAGAAATACTAGGGATTTCTCTTCTCCCCATTATACAGGTTTGGTGGTGGCAGTGGTTGGCAGCAGTTAGTTACTGGAGCTGTGACTGATTCGGGGCACAACACCAACCCTTTTCCTCCACCCCCAGACACAGATTTTCCAGAGGCATTTATGGGGTCCACACTGTGCTGTTGTTTGAAGCTTTAAACACCATGTTGGGGAGTTTCACTTTCACATGCAAGGTGACTGGAGAGACAGTAAATCCATCTGGCTCTAGAGTCACTCCTCACTGGCCTGTGAGCCAGCCCAGTAATCCAGTAGGAGGTGGGGACGTACTATTTTCTTGCTGTCCTCTGCAAACGTGGCTTTAACAAACATGGCTCCCAGCGCAAAGCCCAGGCTGTTGTCTGTGTCGCTGACGCAGAACTTCCAGCGTGGCAGACAGGTCTGTGGGGGCAGAAGAGCAATGATTAAACCAGTTACTCCTGCAGCCTGCCAGACACAGGTCTTGCAGAGAGGTCTCTGACACAGGGCTGGGAGCAGTGGGTTAAACAGGAGAGGGTGCTTTCAGTGCACCAGCTACGGAGCAGGAGCTGGGGGTCCTGCTTAGCCAAGCCAGGGAAGGAGAGGCACAGAAGGGGGGGCTCTGTGTGTGGGGGGGGATTGTGTGGGGACAGAAGGGCACTTGTGCGTGTGTGTGGGGAAAGAATACTGCTTAGCCAAGGCAGGAAGCCAGGCCCGCTGACAGCAATTCTGGGTCCCAGGGCAGAATAGTCAATGGGCCCCCTCGCACACACAAGCCGCGCCTGCGCGGACGGGGTCCACCTGAATTTTGGGTGGTGCCCAGAGAACTGCCAGCTCTGCTGATGGGTGCGCTCTTCCAGCATGGCCAGGGCTCCCACATGCCCGCCCGGTAGGGCTGCCAACGGTCTAATCGTGCAAACCCAAAGACCATTGCCCCGCCCCCTGCCCCTTCCCTTCCCTGAGACCACGCTCTGGCCCACCCCTTCTCTGAGGCCCTGCCCCCAGCTCACTCCATCCCCCTCCCTCCGTCGCTCACTCTCCCCCATCCTCACTCACTTTCACCAGGCTGGGGCAGGGGGTTGGTGTGTGGGCTCTGGAAGGGAGTTGGGTGCAGGAGGGGGTGTGGGGTGCAGGCTCTAGACTGGGTCAGGGAGTGAGGGGGTTGGCGCTTACCTTGGGTGGCTCCCGAAAGCGACCGGCACACCCCTCTGGCAGCAGCTCCCAGGGGGTCCTCCGCGCACTGCTGCCTGCAGGCTCTGCCTCCACAGCTCCCATTGGCCGTGGTTCTCGGCCAATGGGAGCTGCAGCGTCGGCGCTCAGGGCGGGGGCAGCGTGCAGAGACCCCCCCTCCCCAGGGACATCAGCTACTTCTGGGAGCGGTGCGGAGTGAGGGTGGGTAGGAAGCAGGTTTAAATCGCTCGGGACCCTGGGCAATTGCCCCCTTTGCCCCCCACTGTCGGTGGGCCTGCAGGAAGCAGAGGGGATCTCGCCTCCCACTCTCCCTTACTTTAGCCATGAGAGTTTCAGAGAGACACTCCCATCACTCAAGCCTGCTAAGGCCTCTCTTTCGCGCCCCTGAGATGGTCATTTCTATGCCCTGCTGTCCCATTCCTTCCTCCCACCCTCCCACCATGGGACTGGGTGAGTGCCTGCCCCGCAGGACCACATGAGGCCCAGAGACTCCCCCGTTCTGCCATCTCCTTCCCCTCGAAGGTGCAGATAAAACCAGCCTCACGCCTTGTCCTTGTCCGAGTGCTTCAGAGGCTGCTCTTATCTCAGCATGATAAGAGCAGTCACCCAGGTGATCCTGGATGGATTTGCAGTTCAGCCAGGCAGGGCCAGACTGCAAAATAACTCCTCCCTCTTCCAGGCATCTGGTCCTAACCGCTTGCCTGGGAAGAAGTCAGGGCTCCAGGGACTGTGAGTGGGCTGGGAAGTCAGTTCACAGGCTGGTTGGAGGAGGGAGCGATCCTGCTTCACTCTTACAGTGGTATTCGGCAGCTCTGTGGTGCAACCTCCCCCACTTCACAAAGAGCTCAGTGCAGTGGGTGGGGACACTATATCTTTGGACAGCTGGATCCATTGTGAAACGACTGAGGTGGCCTCCGCCAGTCTTTAGTGAGGAGGCAGAGGGAAGGCAAGTGACTGCATGGGGCCAGGCACCCCACCCAAACTCTGCAACTCTTGGGCCAGCACTCTCTACAGCCAGCAGCAGGGAACTGCCCTGTGCCAGGCCTTCCCACAGTGGGGAAGAAATGGAGGAATTTCTGCCCTTTCCTCCATGCAAACAGCTTGCGGCCCGGCCAAATTAGAAGGGCAGCCCCACGTAAACGGAAAGCCCATGTCTCCTCCTACGTATGGATGAAGCTGTGGAGCACCTCCATCACCGTGGGAAGTGGGAGCCCTTTGGAGCGACCTGCTAGGCTGAAGGAGAGCAGCCTGGAAGATTTTAAGCTAGGAGGCACGGTGATTTGGGGGTGGGGACAGAAGACTGTCTTGGGTAGTGACGCATGTTTTGTTATGTAGTTTCTCTCCCATCTCCCCCTTGTTCCCCCACAGACTCGCCTTCTTGGTCCCATACATGACTTCCATGAACTTCTCCTCTGCATCCTGGAAACGCTGGTCCAGGAAGGAGCTGGTTTTTCTCACCAGGTTCCAGATCATGTAGCTGTTCAGAAGGCTTCAATGGAAGAGAGAATAAAAAGATTTTCTACAAAACATGGAAGTTCCCAACTATTCTATGGAGTCAAGTCCCCCCGACCTTTGTTGTTCTGCTCTACAAGGGGGTCAGCCATTTGGTCCCTGTGACAGGGTGCTGGGAATCAGCCACTGACCCACTAGCTCTCTGGTCACTGTTTAATCAGTCAGGCCCACTGCGAGGGCCTGATTAAGGAGAGGAGTTCCCCATTACCAGATCAGACTGGGGGAGAGAAGCTAATGAGCTAATTAGCCCATGAACAAGGAGACTGGATAAAAAACACAGGAAGGAAGTGCAAGGAGAGGAGAAGCAGAAGAAATAGCGGCTAGCAGGGCCTGACCAAGGGGAGTTCTCTGGAAGGAGGGACCAGTTCCCTGCCCCCAGCTTCTGGAGAAGGGGTTAGAAAGTTGAGATATGGTGTATAAAAGTGTGGAGATACTGCTTTGTATGGATGGAGGAATTAAAACACTGCAAATAAACTACACAGGGGTGTTTGCGAGGAAGAAGGTCTTTGCATCGGCAGTCAGATGTTTGGCTGCATGTGTGTTCTCTCTGTTTCAGAGGAACAGCCGTGTTAGTCTGTATTCGCAAAAAGAAAAGGAGTACTTGTGGCACCTTAGAGACTAACCAATTTATTTGAGCATGAGCTTTCGTGAGCTACAGCTCACTTCATCAGATGTTATACCGTGTAACATCTGATGAAGTGAGCTGTAGCTCACGAAAGCTCATGCTCAAATAAATTGGTTAGTCTCTAAGGTGCCACAAATACTCCTTTTCTTTTTGTTCTCTCTGTGTGCCATTCCACCTCTGCGCAGACAGATTCTGTGACCTTGCACGCAGACAGAGAGAGCTGGACATCTGCCCACAGCCTGGCTTTTGCTAACTTTGCTTTATATCAGCAAAGCTTGCCCACTACTTTAGTTCAGGCCTCATACCAGACCTCTTAAACAAGGGCTTATGTCTTAGGCTCTCTTTCTACTACAGCAAAAGAAAGAGGGTGGGAGCACTCGATGCCCTGGCACAGTATCTGGTGCCCTAAGGGGGGATTCTGCTCTGACTTACAGTGTCCCAAAGTGTTCCAAAACCTTTCCGGCCCCCCCTCCCCCAAACATGGCCTCCTGATGCAAACGGCACAGAACATTGGTAGCACTGTGCACGGCTGCACTTGGACTCCTGGGTTCCAAGGCCACCTCTGGCTGGCCAAGGCCTGGTCTACACTACCAAGTTAGGTCGACTCAGCTATGTGAAAAATCCACACCCATGAGCGACATAGTTAAGCCGACCCAAATCCTGGTGTAAACAGTGCTAGGCCAACGGAAGAGGTGAATTACTCATGCCAGTTGGAGAACCCCTGCTGCTGCTGTAGGTAGCGTCTACACTGAAGCACTACAGCGGTGTAGCTGTGTCACTGTAGCATTTCAAGTGTGGATAAACCCAGCATCCCTGAGGGAGTGGATAGGGTATGGCATGATACTTAAGGCTATGTCATAGAATCATAGAACATCAGGGTTGGAAGGGACCTTGGGAGGTCATCTAGTCCAAGCCCCTGCCCCAATATTTGCCCCAGATCCCTAAATGGCCCCCTCAAGGTTGAACTCACAACCCTGGGTTTAGCAGGCCAATGCTCAAACCACTGAGCTCTCCCTACCACTTATGTCAGCAAAACTTAAGTCACTCAGGGGGATGAATATTCCACCCCCACCGAGAGACATACATTATGCCGGCATAGCACTAGTGTGCACATTGCTATGTCAGCAGGAGAGCTTCTCTTGCCAACATAGCTACTGCTGCTCGTTGGGGGTGGATTAATTATGTCGATAGGAGAGCTCTCTCCCGTCGGCACCGAGCAGCTACACGGGAGACCTGAGAGCAGTGTAACTCTGTCACTGTAAACTCTCTAGTGTAGACACAGCCTAAGGCTACAGGAGAGCCTCTCCTGATGACATAGCTTCTGCAGCTTGCGGAGGGTTTTTTTAATGCCAACGGGAGAGAGCTCCCTGTTGGCATACAGCCTCTTCACAGACACGCTGCAGCTGTATTCGTACAGCTGGGCTGCTGCAGCACCATATGCATAGACATACCCCGAGGGGCACCTTGCTCTGTAAGCCCCCTCTGATGTGGGAGAGATGTGATTGGTGGAGAGGTTATTGCCATCTCTTGCAGGGTATAACAGTATCGTACCCTAAGTGTTTCTTGGTATGCGGACTGGATCCTGCACGATGTTTCCTATACCTGCATTGCCATTCAGAGGTAAGAGCTCTCACCATCTGTCCGTGGCTTGGATGAGGCTGGAGACCTGCTCCAAGTACTCTTTGGCATAGACCACCACTGGCTCGGATTCATTGAGTTCCACCGGGTAGAACACAGTGGTGAGGAAAGGCATCCAATTGATAGCTGGCGCCAGGTTCTGGAAGAGAGGCAGAGGTAAAGAACTATATATTGCCCACCCAATGAGACACAGCGCACAGGAGGCAGGGCTAAGTTACCTGGACAGACTGTTAGCCCAAGGGCCAGTCTGCAGGGCAGCTATGATCCCTGGCTATATGTGTCCTTTAAATACACCTTCACTCCAAAGGCATGAATTAAAGCACGTGTTTTACCTTTAGCTTCACTGATGTGTGTCTGAAGCCAGGCGTGTGAGGGAGGAAACAGCTGCTGTGTCAGGTCAACCATGGATGGATCTTATTTTGAGAACATGTCTTGCAGTTGGGGTCAGATGGACTAGGCTGCTCCAGGGTCTTTAGCTATGGTCCGAGGACTCCTCCAAGAGGAACCTGAACTGGTAGGCAGTTTCAGTGAGGAATAGACCATAGCTCGCTGCCACTGCATGCAAGATAGATGTTTTTATAACGGATTTCTGTTGTTCTAAATTACTGATGACTTAAATTGGTCTTGTATGTCCAGGCTCAGCCAGCTGCCTTCCCTTTTTATGCAGAGATGCAAGCTATTATCCCTCAAGAGTGAGGAAAACACGTCCCCCTCAATCTAATGTCAGACTGGAGAGAGGTTACCAGTGGAGTTCCTCAGGGATTGGTTTTGGGACCAATCTTATTTAATCTTTTTATTACTGACCTCGGCAAAAGTGGGAGTGTGCTAATAAAATCTGCAGATGATACAAAGCTGGGAGGTATTGCTAATTTAGAGAAGGACCGGGATATCATACAGGAGGATCTGGATGACTTTGTAAACTGGAGTAATAGTAATAGGATGAAATTTAATAGTGAGAAGTGTAAGGTCATGCATTTAGGGATTAATAACAAGAATTTTAGTTATAAGCTGGGGACGCATCAATTAGAAGTAACAGAGGAGGAGAAGGACCTTGATGTATTGGTTGACCACAGGATGACTATGAGCCATCAATGTGATATGGCTGTGAAAAAAGCTAATCCGGTCTTGGGATGCATCAGGCGAGGTATTTCCAGTAGAGATAAGGAGGTTTTAGTACTGTTATACAAGGCACTGGTGAGACCTCACCTGGAATACTGTGTGCAGTTCTGGTCTCCCATGTTTAAGAAGGATGAATTCAAACTGGAACAGGTACAGAGAAGGGCTACTCGGATGATCCGAGGAATGGAAAACCTGTCTTATGAAAGGAGACTCAAGGAGCTTGGCTTGTTTAGCCTAGCCCAAAGAAGGTTGAGGGGAGATATGATTGCTCTCTATAAATATATCAGAGGGATAAATACTGGAGAGGGAGAGGAATTATTTAAGCTCCGTACCAATGTGGACACAAGAACAAATGGATATAAACTGGCCATTGGGAAGTTTAGACTTGAAATTTGATGAAGGTTTCTAACCATCAGAGGAGTGAAGTTCTGGAATAGCCCTTCCAAGCGGTGCAGTGGGGGCAAAAGACCTATCTGGCTTCAAGATTAAACTCGATAAGTTTATGGAGGAGATAGTATGATGGGATAACATGATGTTGGCAATTAATTGATCTTTAACTATTCATGGTAAATAGGCCCAATGGCCTGTGATGGGATGTTAGATGGGGTGGGATCTGAGTTTCTACAGAGAATTCTTTCCTGGGTATCTGGCTGGTGAATCTTGCCCACAAGCTCAGGGTTCAGCTGATTGCCATATTTGGGGTCGGGAAGGAATTTTCCTTCAGGGCAGATTGGAAGAGGCCCTGGAGGTTTTTAGCCTTCCTCTGTAGCATGGGGCACGGGTCACTTGCTGGAGGATTCTCTGCTCCTTGACTTCTTTAAACCATGATTTGAGGACTTCAATGGCTCACACATAGGTGAGAGGTTTATTACAGGAGTGGGTGGGTGAGATTCTGTGGCCTGCATTGTGCAGGAGGTCAGACTAGATGATCATAATGGTCCCTTCTGACCTTAATATCTATGAATCTATAATGGGCTAATCAGAATTTGCAGTTGAGTTCCCTTGACAACTCCTGCTTCTAGAGGTTGAAGGGGACAGAATTATTTCCTGTCTTGACCTCTCAAAGGAAAAAAAAAAAGATGTAATAAATCCAGAATGGTGCAAATGGAGTGCTCAAAGTGGAAAGTGGAGTAAACTTATTCCCACTCCTCTAGGAATAACAACAATTGTAATGATGCCCCCAGCTGCACCATTAGTAGGGATTGAACCAGGGACCTCTTAATCTCAGCAATCAAGCCTCTACAACTTGAGTTAAAGGAGCATCTCTTTTAGCTCAACAGCAGACACATAAACTTTTAGAGTGGATGAGCCCCTGGCGGGGACAGAGTCACACTGTGTTAGTGAGGGCTGCAGAGCTCCTACACTCCTCTGTAGCATTTTTTGTCTGTTGATCTCAAAACATTTATAAAGGAAGGTCAGTATTATTATCTCACTTGTACAGATGGTGACACTGAGGCACAAAGGTCATGCAATGGGTCATTGACCACACTGGGAATGGAACTCAGGTCTCCTGTCTCCTTGGTCTCTGGGCCTCACTGTCTCTCAGAGCAGCTTGTGGCTGCTGGAGGAATCCCGACACCCTCACTTTTATGTACCCAGCTGTTAGTAACAAAAGCTTGAAACCAAATCTTGTATGCCGGTATACTTCTACTTCCCAGCAGATGCTGGCAGAGAGAAATAACATCTGCAAATGGGGATACTGACACTGACCTGTGAGGCTGCAAAGTGCTAGACAGTAATCCCACCTAGCTCCTAGCTCCCTTGGCGTGGGAGAGGTATGAAACCTGTAGTTTTACTGGAGAAGAGTGCCACGCCCAGCTTGGTGCATTCACTGTGTTGATACACAGCGTCTCATCAGGCTTTCAGGCGAAGGATTCAGGGACCCAGCAAATACCAGCCACCAAGAAGTTAGTCTTTGGATGCCATGGAGATGTTGATCGTCCAGCAGCACCCAATTATCACAGGTGATCCTTGTCACACATGTGCGCAAAACTGTGCAAACAGCTGCCTCTCAATTGAACCAGTGGCAGATGGCTGGGTTAACAGCAGAAACAGCACAAGGCAAGAGGCTATGTGTAAACAGTGTGCAATGCTGGCAGCATGTCACCAGGTCACCTGCTGCAGATCAGAGGAAAAATATGCCCACAGAGCAAGAGAGTCAAAGATGGAGTCATTCATCAGCCCAGAATAGCCAGACTGCAGCACATTCCAGCTATGGCTCCTACCCCACCCCCAGCACACTCCAGTACTGGGGACTGCATAGGGCCAGTCTCCTAGCCTTTCACCATCAGGGAACCTGCCACTTTGAAGACTTCAAACACAGGGGTGATTTGAGTGGAGTGCTGGTAAGAGACTACAGGTCTGGTCCTCTCGGCAGCAAGCTCAGATTCATTCTCCAAAGAGAGAATTCTACCAGGCGAAGTTTAGGCCTAGAGGAGCAGGAGCGAGGTAACAGCAGGCTCTCCAGAGTCATGGGGGTTTGATATATTTAGCCAGGCCCTCAGCATGGAGAGGCTTTGAGAGAAAACTCTTGCTGTTCACGCAGTAAAGCAGAGATCAGTTAGTTAGATCTTGATGGGGCAGCAGGGGTCGGGAGCAGCAGTCTGCTGGGCAATAGATCACAGCACCCTGGCCCAACATTTCAAACACAGGTGCCTACGGTTAGGTTTCCAAGTTCAACCTGAGCTTCCAGAACATGTTGCTTGGTTCCCAGAAGGGCTCAGTGCTTTTTTGTGAATTGAGGTGGGTTTTTTTTTTTAAACTTTCTCAGCCTTGGGCATGAGCTGGGTCAGTGAGACCAGTGTGCTGACACCAGAGTCTCTGAAAAGTCTCAGATCCAGGGTTATGGGCTGACACCAGAGCATTGCTAGGCATGGGAAGGCAAGGAGGTGGTGGGCCTAGCAGTCACATTTGCTTCTGGACATAGACGGGTTCACACGAACATGATCTATAGGTTGGTTTCTGAACCATTATAGAAGAGAAGCTGTTAGTGTGGTTCCCGGCTTGCACGGTGCATGTTCTGCAGTGTTTCTCGCCCCAGCACAGTAGGAACACTTTGGTATTGGCAAAGCGTATCCCATTGCCAGTGGCAGGCTACCAGCATCAAGATCTAAATGTAGCTGGCCCCCCCCATTCCCCAGCGAAGCCCTTCCACCTCCACTACTGCCAAGGACCTGCCTCTGCCTCTCACACAGAGCGCGTGTGTGCCGCTGCGGCCTTCACCTTGAGCTCTCCGGCTGTCACTCTGTGGTAGATCACTTCCTCATCCCTACGCTTCTCCTGAGGGATGGTGATGTTGGCTAGTGCTGTCTCAAAGTCCAAGATCTGCTGCATCTGCTGCCGGGTGGCCTCCTCATCTGCCCCTCCCAGGAGCATGCCCAGCTGCACCATGTAATTCAGGTACCCAGTAAGTACCTAGACGCCCGGGAGAAGAAGATAAGGTGATTGGCCCTGCTGTTAGTTGCTGCTCCTGGCTGGGAATGAGAAATGAGGGAAAGGCCTGAATTCATTCCCCAGGGCTCAGCCTGAAACCAGTCACCTGTAGCAGCCCTGCTAGGACAGAGACAACAGGCCAGCTGGGTACTGAGCAATGGAGAGACTCTCTTCCCTGCCTATGTTTAATCTATTATCCACACCAGGCTAGAAATAAACCCTCCCTGCATAACTCCTGTCCCATCCCCCAGTTCCAGCTCCCGCTGAGATGACTCTTCTGGCTCAGAGGGCTACTTTTTGTCTCCTCCACAATGCATAGCTGCTAGCTTGTTTTCCTCTCCCTTTTAATTTAAGATCCACTAGTTCATGAGGATGGAGCATGGAGGTAGAGCAGCAGCCACAGTTAGGGAAGTTATATGGCTGAGCAGTGAGGTCGCCAGCCTGGGGTATAGTGAGCAGTTAGAATCCCGTCTCCTCTAAAATGCCAGCATTGTGTCCCATCTTGCCCCTGGAGCTGGCCACCCTCCACCCATGGGGAAGGATGGGTCACTGATGGTGGCTCCTGGGCAGAGAGTGAAGGTGAATAATATGCACAAATTTCAGAGTAGCAGCCGTGTTAGTCTGTATCCGCAAAAAGAACAGGAGGACTTGTGGCACCTTAGAGACTAACCAATTTATTTGAGCATAAGCTTTCGTGAGCTACAGCCCACTTGATTGGATGCATTCAGTGGAAATGAAGTGAGCTGTAGCTCATGAAAGCTTATGCTCAAATAAATTGGTTAGTCTCTAAGGTGCCACTGGTCCTCCCTTTCAATATGCACAAAGACTTTCTGGTGCTCAAACAGATGTATCTTGCAGAGCATAGGTGTTAAGTAGTCCTTAACTGCTATACTGAGTCCATGCTTCAAGGAAGACCATGAGAGGAGATGGACGCTTACCTTCTCGTTCTCCGTTTTGTTCAGGTAATAATCTCTGGAAGGTAACCCGAGTCCTGACTGGTCTACCTGAAAAATAAACAGAGCAGGAGTGAACAGGTGCACAGCATGGAGAAAGAGAAGAGTGTGGCTAAGGTACAAGCAAAACCCCTGTAGCCAAGTGACTTGGCTCTCACTACAGGGGGGCATTATTTCACCCCAGTGAAACAAGACCATGCAAAGTGAGGAAAGGACCCTCTCTCAGGAATGAGGCTGTTGCACTCACCTGGATGACGTTGCTGTTGGAGTTCTTGGAGTCAGCACTCACGTAGATGGAGAAGAAGGGTGAGGTGTGGTAGTGTGCCGTGACCTCCTGCAGGGTCTCGTTGAAGTTATCTTTGTCCCAGGGGCCCGTGATATTCCAGCCACCAAGCTGGGAAAGGAGAACCCCAGACAGATGGGTGAGACAGGGCCCTAGATGTGCAGAGGAGGGGTCTTGTTTCCTGTGAAGGAGATGGTGCAAGGGACTGGTTGCACCACCTAGAGCTGAGCAAAAAAAGGAGACAAACTCGTGGGAGCATGGATCGAACACTGACTGTCAACTGGATTTTTAGTGGCCAGATTGCTGCTTTCTGCCTTGAGGAGTCTATAGCCTGACACCTCTCCTGCTCCTGCCTTCCTATTCAAAGCAGCAGGTCTTGAAAAATGAACAAAGGTACAGTCTACATTTCTCCAAAGATGGGACATACTGAGGCAGTGCTTAAAGTGCTGTGGTCACGGACATGCGAAAACAATTCTGAATAGCCAGCCAGTTGCTGAGGGGTGCACGATGTCAGTAATGCCTGGGGACCCCTCCCTCTGATTAACTGCTTCCCTCCTTGCCTGCCTCCCAAGGAAGAGCAGCCAATCACAGCTGATTGAACCATGTCGAGCTCTTTCCTGCTCCCCCAACAGCTGACATTTGTTCTCATGGACGAGGATGGGGGTGCAAAAAGAGCCCAGCAGCTCAGGGCAGCTCCCCGCTTCTACCTCCATCCCTCCTGTGAACAACAGACTGGCTCCTCTGCTCCTGGCCCCCAAACTGCACCCAGCCTGGGAAGGGGCAAAGGGGGTGAAGAGCTGCTGGGGGAGCTGAGGTGAGGCTGTAGGGGACAACTGATGTAGAGGCAGAACTGATGGTGGGTCTGGAGGAGGCAGAATGGCTGTGGGGGCTGCAGAGCACAGGGTTGATTTGGGGCAAGGGGATGGGCAGATATTGATGATTGACCCCCTGGGTTTTTCAGACCACTTTAAGCACGGCAATCAGGTAGCCAGGGTCCAAAGTTTTTCTTGACTCTCAGTAGTTATGCAGGGTGAGATTTTCCAAAGCACTCTGCGTTGGCCATCAATGGTAGACCTCCCTTTCACTTTAATGGGAACAGAGCTAGAACAGTGCTGCTGCGTTTGAAAATCCACACTTGGGCATAGATGTTCTCAGAATCATATTATCTATTGAATTTAGAAGCCAACATTGTCACGTGGAAGGTTAATAAAGAAGCTGGATCTTGATTTAATGTAGCTCCTACAGAAAAGTGACATTCTGGGCATTTTTTACTGCCTCCTGCTTGCTCCACCACATAAGTTTGTCTCAGAGCAATGCTGATCTCACTGAGGTTTCAGATACTAACATTTAACTAGAAGAGAGTTTGCTAGATCAAGCCAGTGGGAGAAACATTTTCAAGCTTCCAAAGGGGGTTTTACAAAGCATATAAAGTACTGGCAAGTGACCTTTGAGCTAGTGGAAGGGAAGTTTGGGATGTTAAGGTGTACTGATTGGAAACTGGCAGTAATCTTTTGGTATTTGGTTAAATACAGAGTAACTTGGCATTTGTTTGATGGGCTGCCTTAGTGCCTTAGGCCATTTGGTCTTCATTGCATATTCGCCATCCAGTAATGGAAGCTTCATGGAGAGACCAGACCTCATTCAATCTCAGTTGCACAGCTGGCTTCTGGAGGCTCTGAAAGCAAGAGTGGAAGAACTACCGCACAGTGTGTATTGGACCCCATCCACATGCACAAGGTTTAGAGCTTTATTTGTACCCCTGGCCTGTAGGAGGTGCTGGAGCAGGAAGAGCTAGGCAACTAGGCAGGTAAGAGCAGCCTTTTCTTTCTAATTAGTGAAAGACACTCGCTCCCCTGCCCTGCCAGCTTTATGGATCGATGCCATCCGCAGACCACTCAGTACGGCACCCACTTCAGTTTTGCCAGGAAGAGTCCATGTCCTAGGTGGATACATGTCCTGTTGGACAGTGTCCTGAGGAGAAAGGTGGGGATGAGTCTCCCTCTTCAGACCCATTGCTGACTTGAACACTGAAGGTACTGGGTGAGATTTTCAAAGGCACAAATGGCAGCTAGGTGTCTAACTCCCACGGCCAGTCAATGCGAGATAGGCACCTAAGTGCCTTTGAAAATCTCCCTCACCATTTGCACCCTTGCATGGCTCAGCCTACCTGCTGTAACATCTACCAAAGCCATGGAAGATGCAAATATCCTGAACTGAGGTTACTCTAGGGTAGCCTTTTAGGAGGTGGTCTCCCCGAGGGTGGAATGGCCCACATAGGCCATCTGGACACTAGGAGTAGTCCATGCCCATGATACAGAGAGGTAAGACAGACATTCCCGTTCCAGGCCATTTACCCTGTACTGCACAATTATTAGAGATGCAAACTGACTGTCTTGCAGTTTACAACCAGAATGGGACTTAACAAGGAGATTCTGGCAGAGAGAGTGTCTGGGAGCCGCGGTGGGAACCTGCAGCGATGCCAGTCCCAGCCATCAGTGCTGTGGGAACTGGTGTATGAATGGTGGAACCCCCAGCCTCTTCAGGCACTTTGAGTGGAGAGGGATTACCTTCTCAATCAGCTCCATCAGTGGTTTGGCCTTCAGCTCCTCGATCTTGGTCTCGTTCATGCAGGACTGGTAATAGCGCTGGGCCTTGCGCTCGGCCTCGCTGGACATGTTTGATGTGGTGTTTTCTGTAAGACAAGCCAGGTATGGGGCTAGGAAGACTCCATCTGAGCCAGAGGAGGGATGCCGATGATTCCCGGTCACCCCAAGCATTGCTGTTTAGGAGGGACAGCCTGTACTTGGTAAGAAAAGCAGTGCTTAACTAGTAATGAAAGAGGAGCCGGGGCTCAAGCAATTTTTTTACATTCATAATGATCCAGCAAGCCCAGAGATGCTGGGGCTCTGAACTGCCAGGCCCAGAGGTTAGGGTTGCCAACTTTCTAATCACACAAAGCCGACCCCTGCCCTGCCCCTTCTCCAAGACCCTGCTCCCCCATCCATACCCCCCCCCCCATCACTCGCTCTCTCCCACCCTCACTCACTTTCACTGGGATGGGGGTTGCAGTGCGGGGAGAGGGGAGGTGAGGGCTCCAGCTGGGGGTGTGGAATCTGGAGTGGGGTTGGGGATGGGGGGTTTGGGGTGCAGGAAGTTGGGGTGCAGGAGGGGGGTGAGGGCTCTGGGATGGGGCTGGAGATGAGGGGCTTGGGTTGCAGGAGGGGGCTCAGGGCTGGGGCAGGGCGTTGGGGTGCGGGAGAGGGTGCAGGGTCCCGGGAAGCGGCCACCAGGTCCCTGCAGCCCCTATGTGCATGTGCAGCCAGGGAGGCTCCGTGTGCTGCCCTCGTGCCCACATGCGCCGCCCTCTCAGTTCCCATTGGTCACAGTTCCCGGCCAATGGGAGCTGTGGAGCTGGCACTGGGGCGGGGGCAGTGCGTGGAGCCTCCCTGGGCACTCATGCATGTAGGGGCCGTAAGGACCTGGCGGCCACTTCCGGGAGCTGTGTGGAGCTAGGGCAGGCAGGGAACCTGCCTTAGCCCCGGGCAAACCATTGCGCAGCGACTGGACTTTTAACTGCCTGGTCATCAGTGCTGACTGGAGCCGCCAGGTTCCCTTTTCAGCCAGGTGTTCTGGTCAAAAACCGGATGCCTGGCAACCCTACCAGAGAGGTGCCAGGACTATGAACTGCCAGGCCCAGAGCTGCCAGGGCTATGAACTGCCAGGCCCAGAGCTGCCAGGACTCAGCCCTGAACAAATTAAGCCCAGAAGAAAGGTAGCATCCCCACACTGTGTCTCTCTGAAGAGCTCTCCCAGATCAATGAAAGTATTTCCCTCTCCCTCAATATCCCCATTTATAGCTTTCAAGTGCTGGCAGGGCCACAGTTCTCCAGGAAGGCTCTCTGTTTTCCAAAGGTCATCTCTGATTTGGAGTCCCCAACCTTCCACCTCCTCCAGCTTCAGAGACTGATCCTTGAGAAACAATCCCCCATTGCTCCCATAGGCCTTGCCTACACTGAGCGTTTTTGAAGTCCCTCCACTCCCTTGCTCTAGCCCCAGTGGGAAACCCCCACTGCCTTATAATGATCATTCTGGGGGGAAACACCACGGGGGTAGATACTCAGGACTGCCAGCCAAAGTAACAGACCTCCTCTGCAGCCGGCAGTCCTATATGCTGTCCCCAGCAGTCCCTCCTGCTGAGACTGGGACTGGAGCAGCCAGATTAAACAGGGACTGGAGCAGCCAGATTAAACAACAGAGATTATTCCAATAACCCAGGATGAGAGGGAAACTGCTCCCATAAGCCTGTTCTCATCTCGGTTTCTAGGCAGCTAGTCACATACACAGCTGAAGCCCATACACTGCTGGGTGCAATTGTTTCCCTTATGGAACTCAGCATCCAGAGACGAGGAAGAGGTGGGGCAGCGAAGAGGGTGCTAGCCAGACAATAGGGCAGATGTAACCAAGTCAGGGAGTCCCCATCATTCAGCGGCTGGGCTTGGCACACATGCATCCCACATGCAACCCCAGCAGTACTTCCGGTGACTCCCTGGCCTGTAGACAGCAGTCTGCTAGGTGAGCCTCCCCTGCAAACACCAGTAGGGGCTGGGCTAAGGCCTGTATCAGCTGGAAGGTGCTTTTTGCATAACAGAGAGTGAGCAAGATGCTGCTTGTAAAGGGAGCAGCAAGAAATAGTTTAGAAGGCCCTTCTGGATGGTAACCTGCTGGCTCCGACAGAAGGGAGGGCAGAAGGACACCTGACACTGAAGTCACCACTTGTCTACTGGAGATGGAGATGCCCAGTGTTCAAATCTCTTAAAAGGCCCCCTCACTAGACTCATCCATAGAAAAGGCAATGTAGATGGCAATATCTTACACAGAAATAATACTGGGGTGACTTCCTACTCAATTACCTCTACGCTGGGCCCCAGCTCCAGATCTATCTAAACATGGCACTGCGGGCTGTTCTGGCATGATCCACCATGAGCTACGCAGCTGCACTGAAGAGGAACTCAAGTGTGATGTCCCCCTGAGAACTCCTATCAGCGTCAGAGGGGAGAACAGGTGACCTGTGATGGAAACCTGCTTGACTGGAGAGGGTGGGAGGAGAGCACTCTGACTGAGCAATGGGGAGTCACTTGGAAGGGTTCTATGGCTCCAGGGGTGAAATCCGCTCCCAATCGTGCTCTCCCTGGCAGAAGAGAGCACGGGAAAGTGGATTTCCCCAGCCTGTGCTAACCCTGCTACTCAGCACAGCAGGCAACGGTGTGAATCATGGATGTGCCGACGTGCGTTAAGCAATAGCTGCATCGGAGCCTGCTTACACTTAACACAAGCCTGGCCCTCACTGAAGAAGGCCTTCATCCGCTGGAGCTGGAAGAACAGGAGGCATGTGGCAGGTCTACAGAGGTGTGGGGCAGAGGGAGTTATCAAAGCTGTGACAGTGACAGATCTCTCCCTGAGGGTTGAGAAGGAAGTCAGGGAGACAGTAGCCGAACACTTGCACATCTGTGTGCTACAAAAGCCAAACACAACCCACTTGTGTGAGCTGGAGAAAGCCAGATCTGGGAAAGGCTCTCAGAGCCCAGGGAACGAAGTGCCTCCATTGCCATGGGAACCGTTCCCCAGCACCAGGCCCACGCCAGCTCCTTTGCCTGGGAAGTGGCAGTTGAGGGAGCAAAAGCTCCATGCGGGAGCTCTTTGTTGTGTTGTTTCATCTGCTACTGGAGATGCACCAGGGCATTTGAAGTTCAGCAATTCCAACCTGCCAAAATGGGGTGCTCATTTGTGTCTCTGGCTGCCTGGTCCCGTCTCCACACACTGCAGTGGCGGGGCTCGCCCTTTGGAGAAGCAAGACCAGGAAAGCAAAACAAAAGGAATCCACCAGGGAACATCCTTTGAATAATCCAACCTCTCAACTATGAAAGATTTTAAAATTAAATGGACAAAGCACTAGAACACACCCTACAGGGAACAATTTTGCAGTGGTCTTTCTGGACTGGATGGATGGCATGGCCCAATAGATGTTTGCTGTTTCTAGCTTCTACAATCTGTTAAGGTTCCCTCCCTAGAACTCCATCACTCTGTCAACCTAAATCCGACATCTGGGGGAAAAAAAACGCACAGGCAGGTCCTATTGAATACAGGACTGCAGCCTGCAAAGCAGTGATGCTGTCCACTATGATCTCTACATCCTTTTCAAACATCAGAACTTGAGATCCTACTGCAATGCTGTGGCAAAAAGCACTAATAGAATCCTTGCCTGTATCAACAACGCAGTGAGTCAGAGCTGGGAGGTAATTTTACCTCTCTATACAGCATTTGTGAGACCAATAATTGAATGCTGCATCCAGTTCTGGTGTCTACGTTTTAAAAAGGATATTGAAAAGTTGGGAGAGGATATAGAGCAGAACCACAAAAATGATTAGAAAGCTGGATACAATGCCTTACAGGGAGAGATGGAAGGAGCTCCATCTGTTTAGCTTATCAAAAAGAAGTGACTAGGTATGAACAGCTTCACAAGAAGAAAACACCAGCAACGAAGGGCTTTTTAATCTAGCGGAGAAAGGCAGAACAAGAACAAATGACTGTAAATTAAATCCAGACATATTCAAATAAGAAATAAGGCACACACATTTAACAAGAAGGGTGATTAACCACTAGAACCAACTCCCAAGGGGAGTGGTGGATTCTCCAATTTAAATCTACAAATCAAGACTGGATCCATTCTGGGAGATGCTTTAGTCAAACCCAAATTATTACTCATTACAGGGGCAACTGAGTGGAATTCTCTGGCTTGTGTGATGCAGGAAGTCAGACTAGCTGATCTAATGGTCCCTTCTGGCCTGAAATCTATGAAAATAACTCCACTGGCCATAGTGCAGGCAGCCCACAAGAAAGGCTGATGTAAGACAGAGTCCATTTAGCTTCAAATTCTTTTAGAAATTGCCTCACACCCACCCTTCCTAAGGTAGGACAGACAATCAGCAATGAGGACAGTTAGGGGTGGGGGAGAAAATGTATCAAAAAGGATATGAACAACGGAGAATGTAAATGATTTAAATGCCCCCCAGCCCTCCTTTCAGGCAAAGAGGAGATTTTTTGTGTTGTAACTAAGTGAAGCATTTAGTTTAAGAACTAATCTAGAAAATAAAGATAGTGAGAACAAGAAGGCTGTAGAGCAGTACTGTCAAGGTTCCTTCCCCACTCTGAACTCTAGGGTACAGATGTGGGGACCTCCATGAAGGACCCCCTAAGCTTATTCTTACCAGCTTAAGTTAAAACTTCCCCAAGGTACAAACTTTTACCTTTTGTCCTTGGACCTTATGCTGCCACCACCAAAGTGTTACACCAAGAACAGGGAAAGAGCCCACTTGGAGACGTCTTTCCCTGCAAAATCCCCCAAGCCCTACACCCCCTTTCCTGGGGAAGGCTTGATAAAAATCCTCACCGATTTGCATAGGTGAACACAGACCCAAACCCTTGGATCTTAAGAACAATGAAAAAGCAATCAGGTTCTTAACAGAAGAATTTTAATTAAAGACAAGGTAAAAGAATCACCTCTGTAATCAGGATGGTAAATACCTTACAGGGTAATCAGATTCAAAACATAGAGAAGCCCTCTAGGCAAAACCTTAAGTTACAAAAAGACACAAAAACAGGAATATATATTCCATTCAGCACAGCTTATTTACC